AAAAAAAAAAGGCCCCACACATCACCTTGTGCAAAGAGGATTATTTTACCTTGAAAATTACAAACCTGGACCTCTTGCTTACTCCTTGTCCTGGCTGGCTTTTTTTAAAACAGCAAAAACATGACATTTGCTTGAAAACCTGAATGGAATGAATAAATCTGTAAAGAGGATGCAACGTTTCTTTTTAAAGGAAAAATAATAGTCTTGCACAGACTAAGAGATGAGTCACTCACTTGGGTGCTCTGCCTCTGAAAACACGCTTAGAATGTTCTCTTAAGAAGAAAACAAATCTAACAGTCTGAGCTATTGCAAATTCAAACTGTATATACGAACTCTTATTTCGTATTAAATCTTTTTGTATTCATTTGTACAACAGATATGATACCATAAGATATAGTTCCATATAAGTGCCAGTGATGACACACGCAGTTTGGATAAGGATTTATAATTTTTCTCACTCTAGTGGGCAGTTGTGATTTGAACATAGATAAACTTCTTAGTAAAGTTCTCTCATTCTAGGGCCACCTCCCTTTCTTGAGTTAGCAGTTATTCTGTCTCTCCTCAATATACTGCACTCTATCTTTAAATATATTTTCAAGAACAACTAATCTTAGTGTGGAGTCTTATAGTTTATTTTATGGCTCTGTCTTTTCACAGATATTAAGCATCATTAATTTAGTTGCTTCGTTGTGTTTTTTTGTTGTAAGTGCAATGTACTTTTGAAATACTGACATCAAACTTTTTAGTTTGTTTTTGTGATAGGTATTTCTTCATTTGATTAAGGATTCAGCAGTTTACCTTCTCAAAAATATAATTAATGGTGCATAACTAGTGAGCATCTTTGTAAAGATGTGACATGGAAATTCCTTCCTCTTCCATCCTTCCAGATAATAAAGCTTTAAAACCTTGTAATGACTGTTTAGTAGGTCTTGAGTCATTTTTGATAAAACAAATGCTTTACAATACTGTTTATCCTAATGTACCTAAACATAGTGGTGATTGGGGAAGTTATAAGTAGTATCTTCTTGTTACTGCTTCACCCCACCAAAACAAGAACAGATCATTAATAGGCTCATAATTTAAAATCCATTTCACAAATCTGCAGCTTTATTTTTGTTTGTTAAATATCAAATACTGTGCTGATAATATAGAGAGGCAGTGTTTACTTCACATGGTTTTCAATTGTGACATCTGTAGAGGAATTTTTTAAATAATTAAAGGGAATATTTAAAACCCTGTGTGGATAACTGTAATTCTTACCAGTTGGTGTTGGGGAAATGATTAAATGTCTTAATTTTAGTTTTAATGGCAATTAAATGTGTACAGTGAATTTTTATCCCCCTTTCATAATAAAGATATTGATCATGTTTAGGTGTTACCTTGATTAATTTTACCTTTTGAAATGTAGATTATACTGAATAAGCAACTTCGGTTCATTTTTTTTATTAGTGTTCTAGCACATGCATATTTTGAAAACCACTTTGTACCTGCCTGGAAAGTGAAAGTTGTATCTGTTAATGTTAGGAGAAATCATCCCTCAAACAGGGCATTAAAGATATGACTCACTGATGCTAATTTGCTGTTCTGACATGAAGGCTCCAGTGCAAAAATCTCTTAGCCTCTGGCACTGGAAGTTCACAATGCCGCATCCTATCACCCTGGGTCATGAAATACAGTTTTTATTTTGTTTGCTATCCTCCTGGAATGAAAGTTTGCTTAGTGAGAGAAATGCTGTATTTTGCATGGAAGACTTTTTTTCCAGGCAATCAAAACATCACAAATGTTGACTTGACATTAATGCTAAGTCAAGTAAAACAGTGAATAAAAACGACTTGCAAAAGGCAGGCAGCAGGTGCTGTTTCATTGTGTGCATTCCCTCCTATAACAGCAAGGGGAGAAATACAGCCTGATCCCTCTTTAGAAAGCTCTAATATAGAGAATCCTTGGAAACTGAGGAATGCTGCTTGTTGCAGACAGGTTTTGTTAAAAAGGCAATATTGGTAATAACGGTGGAGTATCTGAGAGCCAAGGTAAGCAGCTTTATATAAGAGATGGTTTCATAGCAGACAGCCTTATGAATACATTGTTTCATGTGAGACATTTATATTGGTACAACAGAAATAATTGTATTACCTTGCAGTGCTAATGGTTCTTTCAGGCTTAAAAATGTCCTTAGACTGTATAAGTTTGAACCTTGTCCAAAGGATTTGGACTCCCTATTATCCGATCTGCTAGCTCTCCCTTTGAAATTGTATATCTTGAGCTATCTTAGGATATTAACCACTTGTACTCTGTGTGAAAACACATTTACTATGGCCTGGCTGGAAAAGGGTCTGAACAGAAAGCTCCAATTAAGTGTTGTCTGATTCTGTTGACCAAGATTTTTAAATCTTGTGCAAAGGCAACTGGAAAAAAAAAATTAAAATTGTACTGTTATCAGTACATGAAATGTTCTTGAACTCGTGTTTTATATTGTACCCATTTCGGCATCTGTATGTATTACACATCAGCAAGCATCAGTTTATAGAACAGGAGAAAGTAAAACAATACAAAATATCACTTAGGTCATGCAAAAGCTTGATGGGAGAAATGAGCCTCATGCTGTGCTCTAAGGCAGTGGCTGTCAACCTTTCCAGACTACTGTACCCCTTTCAGGAGTCTGATTTGTTTTGCCAACCCCCAAGTTTCACCTCTGTTAAAAACTACTTGCTTACAAAATCAGACATAAAAATACAGAAGTGTGACAGCACACTACCGGTATTACTGAAAAATTGCTTCCTTTCTCATTTTACCAGATAATTATAAAATAAATAAATTGGACTATAAATATTGTACTTGCAGTTCAGTGTATAGCATATGGAGCAGAATAAACAAGACGTTGTCTTTATGAAATTTTAGCCTGAACTGACTTCACTAGTGCTTTTTATGTAGCCTGTTATAAAACTAGGCAAATATCTAGATGAGTTGAGATACCCCTGGAAGACCTCTGTGTACCCCCAGGAGTATGTGTACCCCTGGTTGAGAACCAGTGCTCTGTTAGCAAACTCAGGTTCTGAGGGAGTTCCACACTTGCACCATTTTCCAAGAATGCCCTTTTTCCCATCTTCAAGAATGTGTGTTTAGGGTTTGGTAACTGAGGCATCTTGATATGTCCACACTTAGCCTGGTAACACTCAACATATTTGTTGCATCCAAAGTTTCTGAGTAAACCTAAAAAGTACAGGGAGGTGGACCAGTCACCCTAACTGCTTGTAGTAATCAAAACAAGTAATGCCATGGACTTTCACACAGAACAGCTTGAGCTAAGCTGTGAACTAGTCTCCCACCAAATAGTATGGGAGTGTTGCAGAGCGGGCATTCTCATCCACATGGGCTAAGGCTTGTGTGCACTTTCAACCCATTTTCAAAGAACACCATTATGGTCTGAAGTTTCAGGGTTTGTGAATATGGGAAGACAAAGTGAGAATATGAGCATCCTGAATGAATGTAGTGTTGCATGGAAGTCTTAAAACTCCTACTTAGATGTACTTAATATTGTAGTCATTGCTTCTGGTTATTGATGTGCTGTAGAGGCAAAAGAAGGAAGGCTTGGATGCCACCAAAATAGAAAGTCACAGATTGCTTCTGTAAATAGTAAAGTCTTCAAAGGGCTTTAAGCAATTGGCTATTGGGTAAAGCTGAAAGGATATGAATTTGAATGTGCTTAATAATGGTACAATCCTGATTCAAAATGAAAGCTGACACTCCTGTAGGCTCCAAATCATTACCTAGTTTTAGTCAACCTGCAAAGTCACAAATGTGGCAAGACCATGTAAAATGAGGTACATATCACTTAATAAAGGAAAGCACAGAGGAGTAGTCTTGGAAAGATGTAGCATTAATAGAAATACAAGTTTAAATAAAATCAGTTTCATGCCACAGGCCTGTTCTGTTGCACTGCTGTAACTAAATTGATTTTATAACTGATCTAGTTATACTGGTGCAAAGCCCTACTATAGATACCCTTAAACTGGTTTAAATCATGCTTATAATTATTTAGCTTAATGTTACTTTAAGCTAAATAATGTTAAGCATGGTTTAAACCAGTTTGAGTGTCTTTAGTAGGGCTTTGCACCAGTTTAACTAGATCCGTTTTAAATTTAATTACAGAAGTACAAGTTGTCCAATATAAACACCCTGCACCATGTCTGCTACCAGCCTCAGGTAGGAGAGGGTACTGGTAAGTAGAGGGATGTTCATTGTGGTATGATAGCAGAGATTTTTCTAGTGCTGCCCTCAGAGATGCAGCAGTCCAGGTTTGTCAGCATCTATCAGTTAAATTATTCTTTTTTTAAAGAATAACTTCTGTTGCAAGTCGATGCTCCAGAAATCACCAGATTCCTACCAGTGCTTATTGACTAGCCCCTCTCTCTTTTGTGAAAGAGTTGGTGATAAAGAGAAAAGAAACTTGTCTTTATTCTCATCAGTTTCCATAAACAAAGAGCACCTTAGAGCATCTTAGTCATTGTGTTAATGCCATGGGAAACCATTAAATATATAACTATAAATCTAGCGTGTAACAGTTCTTGAAACAAATTATTTAAATGCAGTTCCAGCACTGACAAAGTAGTGCAAAGAGAGAGATTCAAGTAAGATGCCTCATTTCTTCCTGGTTCACTGTGGCTGCAGTTTAATTTTTACAGGGTTTTTAAATGTAACCATCCACCAGGCTGATGTTAACACTTGTCTGGCACATTGGTCAACCCCTTCAGTACATCCTTAATCTGCCGTCACAGATCTGGTATATTCTCCATATGATCACTTTTATGTAGGGAGTGTCATTGAGATAGAAATCAAGCAATATGTTAAAAGGCCTGACGAATACCTGGTCATTTGCTATAAGAAATGTTGCCCTCAGGATATTTAAAAATTTGTTTCATGTGATTGCACTTTCCTACACCCATGTACTGCAGAGTCTGTGCACAACACATGGATTTAAATGTAAGTGGTTTATCCAATCAGGAAACTATTGTAGTGAGACTTGTATAATTTCTTGCACTTGTTAGTTCAGTGACTTTTTGGTCTAAAATTTGCTTTCCTTTGCCTGTAAATGTTCTCAGCATGTCAAAGTAAGCGCCCTCCAACAGAAATTCTGAAGTGTGAATGTTTGATTTTAGGCACATGAAGCCTCACATCACCAACAGCAGGCAGCACAGAACAGTTTGCTGCCCCTCCTGAGCTCCGCTGTTGAGCCACCTGATCAGAAGCCGATTCTACCCTTACCAATAACCCAGAAACCTCAGCCTGCACCAGAAACATTAAAGGATGCTATTGTTGGGATTAAAAAGGAAAAACCTAAAACCTCCTTTGTATGCACCTACTGCAGCAAAGCTTTCAGGGACAGCTACCATTTGAGGCGCCATGAGTCCTGCCACACAGGGATAAAGTTAGTGTCACGGCCAAAGAAAACTCCCACCACAATGGTGCCCCTAATCTCAACTATTGCTGGCGACAACAGCCGAACTTCATTGGTTTCAACTATCGCAGGCATCCTGTCAACGGTCACTACATCTTCCTCTGCCACCAACCCCAGCAGTAGTGCTGGTGCAACAGCCATGGCTGTGACTCAGACGGTGAAGAAGCCCAGCAAGCCTGTTAAGAAGAACCATGCTTGTGAGATGTGTGGAAAAGCCTTCCGGGATGTGTACCACCTCAACCGGCATAAGCTATCCCACTCAGATGAAAAACCTTTTGAATGTCCAATTTGTAATCAGCGCTTCAAGAGGAAGGACCGCATGACCTATCACGTGAGGTCTCATGAAGGTGGCATCACCAAACCATACACCTGTGGTGTTTGTGGAAAAGGCTTCTCGAGGTACCATGTAGAAAATCCCAGGCGAGCTCAAGTATTGGCTTTTCGTAATCAAGAAGGGTTAAACTATCATAGCAAGGGGCTAGGAGAACCAGACATCTTAGAAGATTGGTGAGGGGATAAAGAGCCTTGTTTACTTAGGGTGTGGGTCTCAATCTAAGACTATTTGATCATGACTAAAAGTTGTCACTGTTTTATGGTTATTCAATGTTCTGAAATGACCTGATGGCCTCAATCCAGGTCACAGTGGAAAGGTGTCCGCATCACCATTGGTGCTAGCTGGACCCCTTGTTAGCAGTCTTTGTAGGGGTCAAAGATTGAATGGGGCATGGAGACTGATCTGTCATCTTGCCTTTAACATAACCCCTTCCAGATCAAGATTGAGGTTCCTTGGCAGAGCAGTGTGGGGGAGCTTGCATTGCTGCTGGCTGTGCTGTATCCGCTCTCTGACTAGAGCGAACGTCAATCTCTAGGACTGTTAATGCAACTCCTTTTTACAAGTACTAAAAATTCACTAACTGTAGCACTTCCAGGTGTATAATAGACACACGGCTGAGCTTTAAACTTTGCTGGCTGGGTCCTAGTGTAATCATTTTGCATTATTCTAGCAGCGGGTTGTTTTATAGGTAAGGGGAGATTTTTTTTTTTTTTTTTTGTCCTTGAAAGGGAGGTGGGTTGCAAATGGCAATCAATGCAATGTTCAGTGCTGCTCGCCGAAGAATCCTTGCTGTCTATTTGTAACGGTACATGTTCTGTTCTGTACCTCTGTTCTTTCACAGGCCTGATCACTTAAGCTGTCATGTCAAACACGTTCACTCGACAGAGAGACCCTTCAAATGCCAAGTAAGGGTTAACATGATTTATTAACAGCATAAGTTTTATTGTACAGTTAGTCAATGTCAACTGAGTATTTCACCAAGGACTGTGTTGATTTACCTGGTTCCCTTGAATGCAAGGTTTGGAATATGGCTCTGTCCACGCTGCTTGTAGTTAGTTGGTGTTGTAGTTAGGATACCAGTGTAGAAGCAGCTTAAGAGGATGGTGTGCCTACCATTTGTAAGATTAGAGGCTTATTTGCTCCTTGGAGAATATTCCCAAAACCCTATTGTTCAAGTCAAGTTTGCCTTTAAAAACAGTGTGACTAAATCTTCAAATTGACATTGATTGCTGAAGTAATGTGTAGGATTTGTTTAGCAATGCTTATAGGCAAAGGTGGTTATGAAAATAGAGTATTTTGCTTGAAATCGAAAGGAAATTGTCATGGTGAAAGTAAGTTGAAGATTAAAAACAAGAGGCAGAACTTGACTAGTGTTGAACAATCAACTCTTCTATGGTTTCACTTGGAATCATCCATGCATGTTCCAACCTGTCTCTAGTGACTCATCATATCATAAGTAAATGCTTTGAATTAAAAGAATAGCTCTAAAGAAATGCTTTGTTTTCCCTTTCCTGATTTTTGGATTGGAACTAAACTGAGTAATAAAAAATAATCATAACCAGAAATATACAGTGAAGCCTGTATGAGACCACCCTTGTCTACTGTAGGTATTTATAAGCCATCTATCACTTAGGTATGCAAGACTGTCTTTTATTTTAAGAAATTGCTCCAAAGTAGGCCCAGTAGTATAGAGTATTCTTCTGTTCCACACTTATCAGAAGACCATTTCCATTAAGCAATTAGATTATGTTCCGTCTCTTAAGTGGTAGCTTGAGATAGGCTTCACTGTAAATCCATGTAAAATCAAAAGGTTTGTCAACATGCCTAAGGTACGGTAGCACCTAGAAAATAAAATATACTTTTAAATGGGCCATGTGGTCCCCAGTGGAATAAGATGGTCTACACTTAAAAAATGCTGTTGTCCTTCATATAGACATGCACTGCTGCCTTTGCCACCAAAGACAGACTGCGGACACACATGGTGCGCCATGAAGGAAAGGTATCGTGTAATATCTGTGGTAAACTTCTGAGTGCAGCGTATATCACCAGCCACTTAAAGACACATGGGCAGAGCCAAAGTATCAACTGTAATACCTGTAAACAAGGCATCAGTAAAAGTAGGTGAACATTTTAAAAACACTTCAGTAAATATATTCTAAACATTTTGCAACATGAGTTGCCTTTGACCTTTCTTAAAATGTAAAATACACCTGTGACTCAGTTTAGGTGTTTGCATCTATCAGAAAATAGATCTTTGAAAATGGATTCTTCGTGAAAAACTTCAGATCAGGGGTATATGGAACTGGTCTGGAACTAGGAGTGTTGTCTTATCTCTTAGAGGAATGCCCTGAAGTGAGAGAAAATAGTTCTTCACCTTTTAAGTATGAAGATCCAAATATCTTTGTCTTTCAACTTATGAGTACAATTGGATACATCCTGAATTACTTCCTTAATCGCAATAAATAAATAAATAAATAAAAAAGGGTGGGTGGGAGGGAGGGAGTGTCCAGGAGTTTAAATCAGTAACAGAATGTGTGTAGATTTAAAAATGAGACATTTGCCTTTTATAGCAAAATATTTGAAAACTTGGCAAGTCTTCTGTTCAGGATTTCGAGCTTGATCTAAAGCTCAGTGAAGCCAAAGACTCCCACTGATTTCCATGAGCTTTGGATCAAGGCTGTCAGTGTTTTTTCCTTGAAGCATTGGACAAAACAAGCACTTCAAGCAAAGCATTTTCCTGCATTGCCTGATGTGTTTTGGGCATTGGTGGTATTTGGCCTGTGATGTACAGGAGGTCAGACTAGACGATTGTAATTCTGGCCTTAAAATCTGTGAATATCCTCAGCAGAAATGTTGAATCCTGAACTTTGGAGTGGCAAGTAAGTGAAGGAGAGACTGGCTTGCTCTCTCAAAAGTATTTGAAATTTAAATCTACACATCATGTTGGTGATTTAGGCTGGGACTTTCAAAGGAGTCTAAAGGAGTTGGGTGTCTAACCCCTCTAGGTTCTTTTGAAAATTCCATCCTTAAAACATTCAAACAGTGTTTTGCCTTTTAGTTCATATTTAATGTGTTCTTTTATTCCCAGAAGTTTGAGGACAGTTGGAATATCTAGCAAGCGTGACAAATATTTACTGAATTGGATGTGGAAAATAAAATTAAAATGTGAATTATTTTTGGAGTAGGGGTTGTTGGAGTCTGTCCTTGTTCCCACAGTACCAACTACTCTGCCTTTCATTGTCAGTTCAGTGACCCTAAACAGCTCGCGGGAGGTATTATGGGACTCACAAAAGGCAGAGATGAAAGTGGCAGGAGAAGCAATGTGGTCAGGGAGTAAATAGCTATTTTCTGATGTGAAGGTGAACTAAAAATGTTTTTAATTTTGATTTCAAGAAGGGGTGCGAGGTGTCTTTTTAAAGTAATTAGTGCTGTGTTTTCACATAACTTGACTCAGCTGCCTCCTTGAGATCTCTGGGAATTTGATCTCTATGAGTACCATAGAAGCCATTTCATTTTAAAGTCCTGTATTTCATTCTCTTTGTTTATCATCCTTGAGATGTCACTCACTCTGAAAGACAAATCAGGCAGTTGATAGCTTGCACTTCTCTAGATCTTAGAGAGGTAATTTTACTGAAATACAGCACTAATTAAATGTTTTTAAACACTCGTATCTTTCTCTTTTCAAGATTCTGAACATGTTTTTAACTTAAACAAAAGCCTTCATCCTTTCAGTAGAAAGGAGCATACATTTCCAAGGTGAATTTGTGTGTGTTTTTACTTGACTGGCGTAGCATGCATGAGTGAGGAGACCAGCAACCAGAAGCAGCAGCAGCAGCAACAACAACAACAACATGTAACAAACTGGCCTGGAAAGCAGGTAGAGACACTGAGATTATGGGAAGAAGCGGTCAAAGCAAGGAAGAAAGGTAAAACAAAATAACATAATCTATTAACTTGATTTACTTGGTTTTTTAAACTCTAATCTGTTTTACAAAAAGAAAGTGTTATAGAGAATGTGAAATGGCAAAAATTGACACATGAAAATTAATTCTTGGTCATAAAAATAAAAGCTAAAAAACAAATCTGATAACCTTATGTAACATTCACTTAAATGATCTTCTTTACTACTTATCTTCAATCAGATTCTGCCCTTGAATGTGCACATAAGCCTCCTTTTGCAGTTAATGGGAGCTGTGCCTGTACTCAAAGGCAGAGTTTGGCCGTTGATTTCTGTGTGATTTCTGGACCTTGTTTAAAACATCAACCAGTTGTTAGATCTCACACATACACGTTTTTTGTGTAGACATCAGTTTCCGTTTAAACAGTTTTCATATCCCCTCTTCATATCCCTGTTCTTCTTTCCCATTTTATTTCATTCACTTATACCCATCGCATAACTGTATTTGTCCAAAGTCTGGTGAAATTCATACTCCCTTTTTTTCCATTGCTTGGTGTCCTTCTTCTAATTACAAAATTAACTAGATTATAGTCACTATTGCCGAGATACTATACTATCCTATTGTACTGAAAGTTGAATAGTGTCCTTTTGTTGTTCACTGTGCCTGCTGTCTAAGGAATAGATTGCTTCAGTTTAGTGTCTCATTTGGAGTGTAGTTTGAAATCTCCAGTTACTTCTAGTTTATTCTTTTCACAACCCTTTGGTTTCTAATTTCTGTCATGTGGCTCCCTCTGATTAAATGTTTTATAATGAATTCCTGCTGTCCATTTATTCCTTTTAATTAACTCTTAATTTTGAACAATAAATATTCTCCACCCATCTTTCCCCTCAAGCTCCTCACAATTCCTCCATATTCTATCAGTTATTCCAGTCCTATTTTTCTGTACAAGGCAGCTAGCTCCCTTTCTGATTGCTGCTGCCACAAAGATTTTTCTAATTCAATGATAGGTTGTTTAGAAACAGCCTAACCTTTTTTTCTTATAAACAGTGATAACTGAAAACTATTAGAATTTACCTGGTTAGTGCTCCAATGCTATGGGGATGAAAGACTTAGGAAAACCAAAGTGAGGCTTGTTCTGCTCATTCTCTTCTATGTCTTGTTTCTACTTCCTTCTTTCTTACCATATGTATCTGTCGAAGTGCTTTTTACAAAAACAATTATATTAAAAAGAGGGAGGGTGGGGTTGAGGGGCACTGGTGTGGGGGTGGGAAAAGTATTGTGCCAAGTTTTTCAATAAGAGTCAAACTGATACTGTTTAGTGAAACCTGTGGTGCCCGAAGAGCACCCCTGATATCTGGGAAGAGGATTGGAGGGTGTCATAGCTAAAGAAATCACTGTTTGGAAGACGAAACTAGACCAGTCAGTTCCATTCTTGTTCATGGTCCTTTTCATGCTGGTTCTCATTAATTAGCACCACATGTTGTGTTGGTTTTGCAATACCACAGGGGAATTTTTAAATTGAACAGTTTATTTAATTTCAGGTATTTGTTTTGTTTTAAATCCCCCCCCCCCCCACACACACTTTTTCCCCCCTCCGAACTTGATTATTGACCCTGAACAATCAACAGTGACCCTCAAATGGGGCTAATGTAAAAGAAAACACTCTCTTAATACATTTGAATAGCCTGCATGGCAAGGGTGGACTCTTGGCTCTTAGTTTACTTCTTGAAATATGGATATAGACTGAGCTCAGTGTCCTACTCTACAAATGTGAAGCAAGGCACATTTTTAAAAATGCCATAACATTGATACGGAATATATTTTTTCAGTTTCTTTAGCAGTCATCCCTTTCTTTTATCCACGTCCACCAACCCGCTTCTGTTTTTGGAGCGTTGTTCTATGGCTAACCAGCAGGTGGTGCTGATATCTAGTGGAGTCATCTGCCTCTTCCATGGAGCCTGGCTGTATCTTCTCCACAAAGTGTCCAGCTCTTGCTAGACCCAACTGGGAACAGACCCAGGATCCTCCATCTCAGTGCAGGGTCCTCTTGGTTCTTGCCTGTTCAGCCATAGTCTCTGTTGCGAAACGAAGTAAAATATTGGTGTGGAATTGTAGTTAATGTAAAAGCTGAGGAGATAATGGGGGTTATAAGATCTACTGACTGGGTATACTTGAAAATTGCTAAGATAAACTTACCACGATCAGTGGAACAATTTAGCAGAAATAATTAAGACTGAAATAAGCAGGTAAACATTGAAATTAGCTTTGCTTATCAGTCCCTAATAATGACTTTTTAAAACCTTCACAGAATGTCAATTCACCTTTGAGAAGGCTATAGAGTACGTACCATTCGGTATGTACACTCTCTTCTCTACTTATAATGTTCCTCTTGAGAGGATTTTTCTGATTGTACAATACTGTTTTTGTGAACATCAAAACCCTCTTTATAAGACAACCTCACTTGACTTCTCAGGAAAGAATTTTGAATTCAAATGAGCTGCATGAACGTTATATTTATTGTAGGCTGTAGAATGTTAACAGTTAACTTACTAATATTTTCTAAAGAAAATTATTCCAGAATTTGTTCTTGGTTTTTTTTTTTTTTTTTTAAATCTTGTCCATGTTTTTTTATGTGTTAAAACTTTTTGTCTTTTTATGTCTCATTTTTAGAAGCTGCTAACTTGTGCCAAACCTCCACTGCTGCTACTACGCCTGTGACTCTTACTACTCCATTCAATATAACGTCCTCTGTGGCTTCTGGGACGATCACAAACCCAGTCACAGTGGCAGCTGCAATGAGCATGAGAAGTCCAGTAAATGTATCAAGTGCAGTTAATATATCCAGTCCGATGAACCTAGGGCATCCTGTAACTATAACAAGTCCATTATCCATGACATCTCCATTAACACTCACAACACCGGTCAATTTACCTACCCCAGTAACTGCTCCAGTGAATATAGCGCATCCAGTCACTATAACATCTCCTATGAATCTCCAAACACCAATGACGTTAGCAGGTCCATTAAATATAGCAATGAGACCGGTAGAGAGCATGCCTTTTCTGCCTCAAGCCTTGCCCACGTCTCCTCCTTGGTAAAGAATCTGTAAACAGTATTAAAGGGGATTAAAACTGAATCCTTACCAGCAGGTTTTTTAGTTGTTAATAATAATAATAATAATTAATAATAATAATGTTAATAATGTAATAATAAAGTCAAACTAAATAACTGGCTTAATGTGCACCAGTTAAAGACCCTAATAGCATCTTTCCCTGTTGATTTGGCTCATCGTGTTCAAACTAGAGTTTGTAATTTATCACTTTGTTTTAAGCAAGTTTTACCGTTAGCTGACGATGATGATGTTGAAATAGGACAGATGGTTACTTGCCACAGTTTAAAAACCAGTCATTAAAAATCAGCATTACTGTTTTATCCCAGAAATTATAAACTAGGAAATGATTTTAATCCAAACACTAGCAAAGACCCCTCCATATGCTTGACAGGGTGGATGGCTAATTTTAACTTGCCAGTTCTAAATCCACTGATTCAGAGCTAGTGTAGTATCTTTGTCTGTGTTAATGTTTTTTTTTTATGAGTAAATGCATTACAATGTTGTCATTTTTTAATGCATTTTGGAGAAAATATGCATTTTACCTTTGGGAATATGGTAATTTCAGGCAGCATTCCCTATGGGAAAGGTGATACCAGCTCTGATATGCAAAGCATATGATAACTTATCATTCTAACTTCAACATATAATAGGGATTGTGACCTGATATTTGGAGATGTAAATATTACCCTAAGGAAATGTAGCATTGTAGTCAACTTTTTTTTTTTTTTTTTTTTTTAAACTGTTAATGTTTGGTAAGAAACAGCCATGGCTGACAGAAGAGGAGTTGAAATGTGTGTAAACATGGTCTCTAAACAGTCAAAACCCTTGGGACTCTTATCTAGGAGCAAAAGGATGCTTTGAATCTTATAAAATATTGCTTTAAGCTGGACGACTCTGGAAGCGCTGGGGTGTGATGTATATGCCCTCTCTCTCCCAATCAGAACCTGTTGATGTTGCAGCAGGGGACAGACGTGTTAGTTGTTCACTAGAAGTTTTTGTCTTATATTAAATTGTATACAGTTTTTATTCTAACCACTAACTAGGTAGGATGACCCTTCAGGACAAGCCAAGAGCGTCTTTAATTTCTCCCGTATTTCTTAATCAAGTGTTGTGCAGATCTGTTCAACTTTGTAAATATTTTCAAACATCATCATTTTTACTTTATTCTTCTATTGTGTTAACACATTTCTATCAATTTGTGGTGTTTGTGGCATGACAGTCTGAGCTGTCCAGCCCAGAAGTACTCCACAAATGGTTACACATGTTGAAACTACATGTGCTTTTTATTTCTTAGACTGTTTATCTGTACATAAAGTAGAAAGCAAAATATAGGGAAACAGATATACTTTTTAGACTATCATGTCACATATTCACATTTTTAAAACTTTGTTTAAAAAAGACACCCTAAAACCAAGACTCTACATTTAAAAAAAAAAAAAAAAAAAAAAGGTAGAGTTGAGCTGTTTTTATCTTAATGAAGTTGAAAGCAATGGAGATTAGTGTGTACACATCTTACAGAATCCTAGCAGGATTGACTAGTCAAAATGGACTGCTTCCGTTGATACCCTGCCATGTCAGTACAAGCAGCAAATACCAGATTTCTAGGTCAGGTGACAGGTATCTGTTTCATTATGCGAAATCGTTCTAGGGGCTTGGACTACATAGTAAAACAAAAAAAATAGAACTTAGTGTAAAATAATTTTATAAATGATCTTTTGTACTTTAGGACATCAAATTGTACAACTTTTGTATATATAAAAGCTTAGGAACTTTCTGTTTAGCAGAAAGGAAACACATTCCTACACTTTTAATGTATATGTTTGTTATAATGTCCATGTAAACATATGCCCTATGTTTGTGCCTTTTAATTAGTTTGTCTCAATAAACAAAAATGTAGAGAAGAATATGTAGCTATGACTTTGTTACCACTGTTTTTACTCCAACAGTACAAAGATCTTTGTTTTCCACAGTAGAGCATTGCATGCAGACAGCTACATGAGTTAAACTGATGTGGCCAAAGTGAGGCATGTAATCAAATGCAGCCCAGCAAAATCTGTCACTGTCTCTCCTTAGCAGTCCAATCGTGATCAAGCATTGCATGCTGGGATATGTAGTCTCCAAGCCCTACACCTCTGTATTACAGATGAAAGTGATATCAACTTGCACCATTTTTACAAACTAGGTACAGCCTTCTAGCACCTGGCAAGCTGCTACTGTGACTCTCAGTTGGGTGAAGTTTGGGTGTCCCTGAGCTTAAAAAAAAATAAAAGCATTAAACAATATGGAAATGTGTACTAGAAATGGTTATGAATTAATTATATAATAAACAACTGTGAGACTTCATTGTATGTTGTCAATTAAGGTAATATTCAGAATGAATCTTTCAGTCCGCTTCTGTGCCCTGACAGTCACATTTCAGTTCTTACAGAGGAACAAACTCATTAAACACATATAAGGAAATTCCCCATTATGCTAGAGAATGGATGTTTCTTGACTAATTCTGAAACCACTAACCATACTGCTCTTAGCAGAAAGTACAACTGAAGAGGCAAAGGATATTGTCTTTCCCTTTTTATTTTAACTGGCTCAGCTCAAAGTTATCAGATTTACATCTAAAAGGCTGCATTAACTAATCTTCAACCTGTCTCATTCTTAATTGGGTAAACCATTTGATTTTTACTGAATACAAATTGTTTTCCTAAGGTGTGCTCCTCCGCTGTCCCTATTCTGACAATTTTACTTGTATGGCTATCTCACAGAATATTTCAAACTACCTTTGATAAATTAAAGTTAACTAATTACACTTCATGTATTGCATCCTACCTTTAACCAAATCAGTTCATCTAAAGTATAGAAAGATAACAAGGTCAGCCACTGTAAATATGTGATGTACTACGGATGGATGGCTTATGGGGCAACTTGAGCCATTTCACTGCTGGTCTAACTTTATTTTAAATGACAAAGGCACAGTGGAAATTGTTAATCTGGAGCAGCCATCTAGATTTGTTCTCTTGAGTTAAAATTTCTATACAGTTTATATTTAGACTAGTTAGGAACTAAGGAATTGTTATACTAAATAATGCCCTTGGGTTATCTAAGCCAATAGCTTGTTTCTAAAGTAGTTAGCACTCCCCATGCCTCAGAGGAAGGTGCAAGAGCTATGCAGTAGGCAGATAGATAATCTGCCTCCTAATTGTGATTGTGAGCGAGTGACTAACCCTGAAGCATGAGGTTTTTTTTATCCCTTGCAAACTCTTTCGGTGAAATCCAGGCTCCACTGAAGTCTGTGTTAAAACTCCCATTGACTTCAGTGGGGCCAGGATTTCACTTTATTTGCATTAAATACTGTCCTAACTGTGGATATTCTTATCTGTATAAACATCCAATCCTTTGAATCTTGCTAAATTCTGGGCCTTGGTGCCATCCTCTTGTTCACCTTGACAGTTTGTCTATTAATGCAACCCAGATGTCACCTGAGTTCTTTCAGGGTCTGTCTTCCTGGTTCATCACCAGATATGACAGATGTCTTATTTTTTAGAATGAATAATACATGGATGATGGTGTCAGAGGGAACATGTTAAAGGGTGGGATTTCATAAGCACTTGGCAGTGAACTAATGGCTTCTGGCAACTAAAACTGTCTTCAATCGAATTCTCAGAATAGCTTCTCCCAGAATTCAGATCTGATCAGTGACCTGCAAAATCCTCTGCATGCAAGAAGGGCTAATGTGTTACTAGGCTCACCTGTGATTTTAGAAGCTATGTTAAGTGAAAGTAAATATTTATGGCAGAGGCTATCGTGGGAATCAGCTAAACCAGCATGCCTTGGAACCTGGTCCTGTTTTTCTTGTGCATTCAGAACTATAGACGTCAATGGCAGTTTTGGGTAAGCAGATAATTTAGGATTTGGCCTTTCTGTAGAACAATACCTGCTACTACAAGTAATCAGCATGGTTTTTGTTTTTAATAGTGTGTGGATCATCCTACCTAGGTGTAAATAAGTAAACCAATCTTCTACTTTATACACTTACTAAAGTCAGCTTGAAGTAATTGTGGGGCAAAGATCGATGAGTTAAATCCTGCTCACTTTGAGTCACATGAGTAAAGTAAACAGCATTAGCCATTGATTTCTGTTAAAAAGTGTAATTCTGACTCACCTACTTGTACCAGTATTCTCTTCAATCAAGGGGTAGCTAAGACAACTGGAACAATACTCCCAGTGTAGTGCTATTAATAACAAAACAAAATCTTCATCAGTAGTTTACCTTACTGTAGAAATACATTATTTGTATATAATGTCATATGTTTAATATGTGCTCAGTAATAGATAAAATATTATATTATGTCTGTGTCAAAGAGCTTAAAATCCGTTGGCACAAGACAGCAACCCAGCAAAATAACATAGCTAGCAACAGCAGTTTCTATACTTGCAATCTTTGTTTGTGATGATCTATCTTTAAGCACACTATGCTTTTCTATAGCATCTTCCATCCCAATATCTCAGAAGTCCTTTCTCATTAATTAAGCACTATAGCCTCACACAAACATGGGCTGGTAGTACCCCTTTTTGCAGATGGGGAAATGAAGGCATAGAGAAGCAAGTTGACTTGCCCAAGTTCACACTGTGCCAAAACTGTAAAAGACTTTGAACAAGTAACAGTCTCAAAAGCAGGAAAACCCACTAACTGAAAAGAATGTGATTTGCTCTGCGTGCAGATTTTGACTTTGCAATTTAGGGGATGTTATTCCTCAAAAAATACTCTCTCTCTCTCTCTCTCTCTCTCTCTCTGCAATTCAGTTGTCAGTGCACCATTTAGGCTGTGTAAGGTCAGATGAGGATAGATGGTGAAGTACAACATTTCAGATGTGGAGCAATTCTAGGAAGGAGGGCAGTTTGCTGAAAACTTGAACTGACTTCTGCATTTTCTTCAACTAGTATGTTTGCAAAGATAGTGTGATCATAAAAACAGCTGAACACATCCTTAAATACCTCAGTGCCCGGAACACTCCAGTTCTAATCTTGGCTCTGGACGCGTGGAGCAAATTACTTCATCTGTCTGCACCTGTCTCCCTATCTGTAGAATGGGGATAATAATATTAGTCTCTAAGGCTGGTTAAAATTGGGAATGCTGCTCTGCAATAAATAAATATACATTTTTCATAAACTGATTTTTGAGTGATGTAGCATTTTTTATATCACAATTTGTTTTTTCTATGAAATGATTTGAAATTAAAGGGAAAAGGGGGGAAGGAAACCTCAATCCAAAATGTTAATTTTTATTTGTTTAAAATTCCATGGAGTTTTAATCAAAATGAATTTTTTTTCATTTTGGATAATTTTATCAAAAATTTTGAAATGTTTGAATAATAGTATAAAGTTCATATAAATCAAAGAGCCACATTTCATTTAAAAAAAACAAAACAAAAAACAACTGAAACTGTTTGATCGGCCCTATTACCTTACTCCCAAAAGTTCTATGAAGGCTGGTTAAAGGGGCTGATTTCCCCCCTCCATTTCGCCAATGTAATGTCATGGCACTTGAGTGATATCCCCCCAGTTTACACTGATGTACATGAGAGGAGAATCAAACAGAATGCTTCTAAAGTGCTTGCATTGTGTGGCAGTACAGTCCCAAGATACTAGCGAGACAAGGGGGATGAGGTAATCTTTTATTGGATCAACTTC